CAATTTCAACATGTATTCCAGCAAAAGGGTGAGTATGAGGAACATGAAATGAACCCCTAAATGCATGTGTTATCTCATAAAGCAATTTCCAGCACATATTGCAGCAAAAGTGGGAGTAATAGGAATATAAAACATAAGCTCAAATGTATCCATATGAAAGTCCAAGCTCAAACAAAAATAAGAAGGAATCCCCTTTTTTTTTTCTTTACTACGTGAATAAATGTTAATTGCACTTTTTTTCATCTTTACCAATCATGCGCAAAACGATGTATTCTATCTTTTCCAAACCAACCAAAAAGAATCACGAAGAGTTTCTAAACGTTTCTTTCAAGATCCGCATAATGAAAAGCAAAGAAGAGCTCCATAATTTTTTTCTTTAAACCATCAAGAATGTGAATTCACCAAGCATTTGAATATGTGATCTCCAAAATCAACGAAACTAATAATAAAGAGAAGCTCCAAATATTTTCTCCTAAGCATGCTTAGAAGACCATTCAAACATGGAGCCAAAAGGGGAAATCCCAACTACCATTCTATGTGCAAGCTACAAGTTTCACCAAATATCCTCCTCCTCTTTCTTTTTTTTTTTAAGGAAACATTGAAGTTCAAACAAGCAACCAAGTCAACAAACCATGGTTATGAATAGCTAAGGGAGGAAGAGATACCTCTTGGCGCAAATCCAAAGTAAATGCTAGAATAGATCCAAAAAAAAAAAACTTCTACAGCACCTTCTTCTATCAAAGCTTCCACCTAAAATATTAATGGCCAAGCAAGCAACCAGGCAACCAAGCAACCAAGCAAAGGTATCAATTGAACCAGCAAGAAACCCAGCAAGCCAAAAAAAATCAAGCAGCACTTCCCCAGCCTCGAAAACTCCACAAATTTTTCTTCACAACACTTCCAAAAGGGCTCAAGCACACGAGAAGAACAGAGCAAGAAAAATCGAAAATCGAACCAAGGAGTTTTAGAGGAGATTTTGGCAGCACCTCCACCCTCTCCAAAAAATTTCGGCCAGCCCTAAGATCTCCCCGAAATGGGGTTTTTATAGCAAGATAGGGAGGAGGAGGAACACCATCGCTCACTTGGGCGGTGAGCCGAGCCAAGAGAAGCGACAAATCTCGCGTGAGGAGGTGACGCCGAGAATTGTAGAGGCGTGGGAGCAGGTTGAAGCCTTTCGCAGGGCGGCAGGCGTACGAGAAGGGGGACCGCAGGCCGAATCTTCGCGATCGGCGAGGGGCTCTGTCGGTTCGGCTAGGGTTCGTGATCGGAGAGGAAGGAAGCTCGGGCCGGCCTCGCGAGAGCCGTGCGGTTTAGGGATTTAGGTTTAATGGAAATAAATAAAAAAAAAACAGAATTATATACATATATATATATATATATATATATATATATCAAATTTCATATGATTTATCAATGTGCGGCGCCTTAGCAAAAAAAAAAATGGCTGGGCCCCTTCCGGGAGTTTGGC